AAAAAAATAAAAAAATAAAAATAAAAAAAATAAAAAAAAAGAATGTAGAAACAATTCAAATCTTAGATTCTAAGAGCTTCTAATATCTAATGGTTGTTCATGGTTGAAAAAATGGTTGTGCCATTCCACATTATTACAAATAACTTCATTTCTGGACATTTATGGTTTGATTTCTTTGTATGTATGGATCACTTGGGTTGTTACCAACATCTGGTAAACATTTCATGTCATTAGCACCTCTAGTAATATATTTACTGAGAAAAATGGTGACGTGTTCAATACTTATTTTACCCACTGTATCTTTCAACGGGCTTTTAGCCACTTTAGCAATTAGCTAGTCTTTTACTACTTATAGCTAACATTTTGCTACTTGGCTAACCTTTTGTTACTTTTAACTTTCATCTAGCCTTTTAGTACATTAGCGGTTAGCGGGCCTTTTCCTACTTTAAGCTTCCATATTCATATTTTGTCTTCTGGCTAGGATTAGCTTTAAGTAACTTATAGCTAGCATTTTGCAACTTTTGGCCAACATATTTGTTGCTTTTACAAAGCCTTTTGCTACTTTAGCAGTCAGCTAGTTTTTTGCTACTAATGGCTAGCATTGTGCTACTTTTAACTTTAGGTTAGCTTTTGGCTTTTGTAGCCATCAGCTCTGAACCATAGCTAGCAATTTGCTTCTTTGCAACTAGCCTTTTGGCACATTAGCCTTRAGCAAGTATTTTGCTCCTCAAAGTTGTCATTTTCCTATTTTAGCTTTTGGCTAGGCTTTCACTACATTTAGGTCTAAGTCATTTAGAGCTAGCATTTAGCAACTTTAATCTTTACAGTATTTTTGCTACTTTTAGTTAACTTTGTTACATTTTGAAAGCTTTTTGCTATTTATAACTCCAAACTAGCCTTGGTACTTTAACCGTTAGCTAGCCTTTTGSTACTCTTAGCCAGTATTTTGTTACTTTAGCTTTTGGTTAGCCCTTTGTTACTTTTAAAAAGCATTCAATTGGCTTTTTGATACATTAGTTATTAATATGTTATTTGCTAATCAAAGCTAACATTTTCTCATTTAGCGCTTCACTATTTTTTAGCTTTAAATCACTTATAGGTAGTTTGGTGACTTTTAGCCTTCAGCTAGTGCTTTGCTACTTTTAAATGCTTTCTACTTTTAAATATTAACCGTTTGTTCATTTAAAAAGGCATTATCTGTTAGCTAGTTTTTAGCTACTCATAGCTAACATTTCTGTACTTTTGGCTTTTGCTACATTTTCCTTTTAGCTACTTKTAGCTAGACTTTTATCTAGTYTTTTGCTATTTTTGGCTATTAGCTAGCTTTTTATTACTTTTCAGTTAATATCTGTGAAATTGTGTTTGCTAAAAGTATCAGTGGCGGCCATGTTGAATTGTGGCTGTATATTCGGTGATGATAGTTTCATTATAGTTCCTCCAATGGTTGATGATATGTTTTGCTAACAGACACCCAGAAGCTTTGTAAGTCACCAGAGTGGGCAGCAGAGGCAGCCGCCGTCTTATTTATGATCATTTGTAACGATTATAAAGAATTAGTCTAAACGTGCTCGTAAAGCAGCTCACAATGAATTCATTGTGTTTGATTTATGAGGTGCCTGTAAACTAACAGAGGACAGTTTGTTAATCCGCTGTAATACCTGTTCAGATGAATACGGCCACGAGAGCCAGAGAGCGGCGCACCAGTTGGCTCCGGTTCTGTGACCCATCGTGGTCCGGGTGGGGCGAGTGGGAACAGTTGCCCCACTCCATCTGTAAAAACCTCTCTAACAGCGCCCCCTCCGCCCCACCCCCCCTTGTTGTTTTCCAGCTGAATGAAATAATCTTCCCCCCGTCTGGAGATCCAGTCTGGGTCAGAGGGCCGGCGTTGGGCCCGTTGCTCATTGTGTGCTCAGAAGAGGAGGTAAAGCACACAATTAGGCACAGATGGCTGGCTCTGCCAGGCCCGGTATTGATCCCAGTAAGACACAACCCGGCTCTGGCTTTCGTCTCCCAAACGCCGTCTGATTCATCGCTCGCRTACATTTGTTTGATTCGAAAAAAGGTGATCAAAATCAGGAAAGACTTCAGATTTAACTCTTTACAGAAGGTTCTGCACGTTTGGCCCGGTGTTTCAGGCACAAATGTTTAAAGTTTAAACTTCCACTTTTACCTGGAAGAGACATTTTTACCATTGTTCTGGCTAAAAAACATTTGTTAGGAACAACAAATTTAACTTAATTCTTAAAGAAGATTAAAAACAGTTTTTTTATGTGCTGTAATTAGTTGTGCTGAGTCGGCATTCAGTTTATTTTCTGTTTATTTTTATTTTTCTGCACATTTTTTACAATCTAACTACCTCGGCATTCTCTGCTCTATTTTAGCTGTTCGTAAATCAAAACGTTCGGCTCGTTCAGGTGATGGAAGCTGCGAGTTTTGTTTTTAAACTTTAACTTTCTTTTCAAATCCTTCTACGATGTTCTCGTTGAAATTTGTTTCTGAAAATTGTCCGTTTGTCTTTTTAAGCTACTTTTACCTTTTTACTACGGTTTGGGGGACTTTTCTACCAAATTTTCTGTTACTTGTAACTTTAGCATTTTTGTACCTTTTTAGGTACCATTTTGCTACTTTTAACAAATCTGTTCCTGCTTTTCTTTTGATACGTTTAGATTTTAGCTACTGCTTTTCGACTTGTTTATATGTATGTTTTTGCCAAATTTATCTTTTAGATAACAATTTACTACTTTTGCTAACCTTTCACCACCTGAAGCTTAGAGTATATTGCTACTTTAGCTAGCGTTTGGCTACTTTCACCTACCCTTTCCCTGCTTGTKTGTAGTGTTCGGCTACTTTTAGATCTTAGCTGTTTTGTACTTTTAGTTTATAGCCAGCTTTAGTCAAATTTAGATTATTTAGCATTTTAATTTTTTACCTAACTTTTTGATACTGTTACTTTAACTTTTCCTATTGCTACTTTAGCTGTTAGCTTTTGGCTGACTTTGTTATTTTTGGACAAAATTGTTGCTTCTTTAACTTTCATCTCTCTTTTGATATATTAGCCGTTAACAGGTCTTTTGCTACCTAAAGCTACCATTTTTTATTTTAGTTTTTGGCTAGCCTGTCACTGTTTTTTAGCTTTAAGCTATAGCTAGCATTCGGTGACATTTACTATTAGCTTTGCGGCAGCCATTTGCTACTTTTAACTTATAGGTTTTTGTTACCTTAGCCATTAGCACACAGGTAGTCTTTTGCTACTTCTAACTGTTGACTAGCTTTTTGTTACTTTAGCTAATAGTCTCATGCTACACATAGCTAGCACTTTATTACTGTTAGCTTTGAGACAGCTATTTGCTACTTTTAACATGCAACTGGCTTTTTGTTACCTTAGCCATTAGCTAGTCTTTTGCTACTCATAGCTAGCCTTTTATTACTTTAAACTTTTGAACAGCTCTTTGCTACTTTTAACTTTCAGCAGGCTTTTAGCTACTTTAGCCATTCACTTGTCTTTTGTGACTTTTTGCTACTTTTAGCCTGCTTTTTTGATACTCTTAGCTTTTTGCTTCTTTTAACTTTTTGTTGTTGTASCCATTAGTTTTTAACAACARYTAGCTAGCCATTTATTTATTTCATCTATTGACAAGCCTTTTCCTAGTAGCATTTGGCTACTTTTAAATTTAATTATCCTTTTGCTACTTTAGCCATAAGCTGGACTTTTGCAACTCATAGTCTCATTATCTCAACACCTACATTTAGGTTTTGGCTAGCCTAAGGCTACTTTTAAACTTCAGTTAGCCTTTTGCTATAAAGTAGCTAGACTTTTGCAACACATCTGCATTGGGACACATCTCCTTATTTTAACTTTCAGCTAGCTTTTTGTAACAATAACTAGCTTTTGGTACTCCCAACTTTCTGCTACTTTAGCCTTTAGCTGGTCTTTTGCAACACATAGCTAGCCATTTATTTATTTCATCTATTGACAAGTCTTTTCCTAGTAGCATTTGGCTACTTGTAAATTTAATTATCCTTTTGCTACTTTAGCCATAAGCTGGACTTTTGCAACTCATAGTCTCATTATCTCAACACCTACATTTAGGTTTTGGCTAGGCTAAGGCTACTTTTAAACTTCAGTTAGCCTTTTGCTACCTCAATAAAGTAGCTAGACTTTTGCAACACATCTGCATTGGGACACATCTCCTTATTCTAACTTTCAGCTAGCTTTTTGTAAAAATAACTAGCTTTTGGTACGCCCAACTTTCTGCTACTTTAGCCTTTAGCTGGTCTTTTGCAACACAAAGCTAGCTGTTTAATACTTTCAATTATAAGCTAGCCTTTTGATGCTTTTAAACTTCAATTAGCCAGTTGCTTCTTTAGCATTTAGCTTCTATTTTACCTATAACAYTTTGCAACTTTTTAATTAACTTTTAGCTTGTGTTTATGTTTTAATTTAATGCAATTTTGCTAGCTAATAGTATCTTTTAGCTAGTTTTCTGCCTCTGTTAGCTTTAATGACTCAGCTTGTCTGATGATTACAGGAGATTAATTTATTTATGAACAATAAACAGATAAAAACAAAAGTCTAGTTTTAAATAAGGCTGGTGTCTTGTTTTGAAAGACAGCTAGCTGCATTTTGTAAAGACAACAACAATAACAATAACAATAACAATAATAATAATAATGTGAGGTTTTGAGTGTTACCGTATTGTTTGTAGTCAGGGCGCAGCAGAAATGTGAAGTTTTCTTTGTGTGGCAGTAGTGAGCTGACGTCAGGTCGGTTCCTTGAAGCTGAATAAACCTGAGAAGAGTCTCCTTCAATCTGCTGTTAGTAACTAACACACACACACGTGCACGCGCGCGCACACACACACATACACACACATACACACACACCGAGACTCAATTACTGCCCAATTCCCTTCTTTATCACTCGACCTCTTCTTTCAGAACCAAAGCGAGCGGGGAAAGATTATTAAAAAAAGAGGCGTCAAGAAGAGTTTAGCTGAGCCCGAATAAAAACAACCCGAACTGGAAATAAAGTCAAGTGTCGAAACTATAAAAAGAAGAGAAAAGATAAAAGGTAAGTGTTTTTATTTTTACCGTTTTTTTCCCTCTTCGACCCCGTCGGACCGAAGCGACGAGGCTTCGCTTTACTTTCTTTTCTTTTCTCGCTTTTCGCTACAACCCGTTGGCCTGATATAAGTTTATTTGTATTTAAAAGTGATTAATTTAGTTTTATTTTTAAACCTGATGGTGGGAATCGTCTTTGTGTGTCCTTGTTTTTTTTTTTTTTTTTTTTTGGCACCGTTCACTCACTCACTCTCCCGGGCTGGAGAAGTAGTTTACGGTTTAATTATTTAAACTTTTTACCGGTTTTTGTCGGTGATTTTTCTCAAACGTTGTTAAGTTTTCGGAGCTGGGGGGGTCTTCGCTGTGGTCGGATGTGACCGAAGCGGGGTTTAGAGGGAGGAGGAGGCGGACGGAGGAGAAGCGGGGAAAGGGGGTCGAAGTGACTGCGAGCCGAGGCACTGGACCGCCGCTGCCGCCTGGTCCTCGCGCCCCAGCTCGTCCGTCCGCCTGAACGGTCCCCGGGCGCCGCAAAAACGGCCACAAATCGCCACAAAACACCGCAAACCCCCGCCTCGTTTCGGGCTGGATCGAAGCGGAGTGGTCGGGGAACGTTTCCCGAACGGGTCGGAGGGTTTTTCGTCGTGTTTCGGTGGCCGCAGCCCCCCCTTCCTCATCCTCCTCCTCTCCCTCCTCCTCCTCCTCGCGCCGGGGGTTGCTGCTCGTGCTATCACCGCGCGGTCGCTTCCTCAAAACCGACACAAGCTAGCAGCAGCAGCCCGCCGCCGCTCCGGCCTGAGTTGTTGAAATTTATCCCTTTGTGTAAATTACAATATCCTCCATTTTTCTCTCTCTCTCTCMCGCTGCCCCCCCTTTCCAAAACAACAAGCCTCTCGCCATCTTGGTTATTTTTAACGCCGTCCCTCGAGCACCGACTAACAGACACTCAGACCACTTCAGAAGAAACGAATCCACTTTTTTTCTCCTCAAGTTTTTAAAACCAAAAGTTTTAAAAGAAAAAAAGATGGAGGATGATGTTGTGAACATCAAGCCTCAAATAGGAGTCTTACATCGGGATGTTTGTTTCATAAAAACACATCTAGAAACAGATATTTTTACGGTTTTTATTCTCGGCAGGTGGATTTAATGTTACTTTTAATTTATACTCTAAAAAGAAATATTTGATATATTTAACRATGTGACCGACTTTAAATCCCTAAATGTAAACAAAAAGGAGTTATTTGAAGCTAGATGGTAAAGGATTACAGAGATATAAAGAAAAAAGGTCAAGTTTGTTAAAAAATAATGCAACTACGGAAAGCACTTAGGACATTTATTCAAATAAAAGATTAGCATTTTAAGCTAGGTGGCGAAGTTTCATTCATTTATCTGCTTTTTGAAATCTTAATATTGCTTTTGCACTAAAAAAACTTTATTTTGATTGATCCAAAACACAAGGAGGATMAAATAATGAGACAATTCACACAAATCACYTTTAAAGTGTAAATTAATTAAAAAACAWGTCTYAATTGCTGAATGTAAACAAGTTCAGCAAATAAATACAAAATATATGAAGCTGGATGGTGAAGCATTGAAGAAATGTTTGTAATAAAGGTCAAAAATGGTTATAAATGGTTAAATAATGCACACGTGCAGATACGGAAAGCCCTTTAGGACATTTATTCAGATTAAAGATTAGCATTTTAAGRTAGGTYGATCTATTTATCTGCTTTTTAAAATCTTATTATTGCTTTTACAAAACAAAACCTCTTTATTTTGATTGATCCCAAACATAATTAGGATMAAATAATGAGACAATTCACACAAATCARGTTTAAAGTGTAAATGTATTTAAAAACAAGTCTAAATTGCTGAATGTAAACAAGTTCAGCAAATAKATACAAAATATATGAAGCTGGATGGTGAAGCATTGAAGAGATTTATTTGTAATAAAGGTCAAAAATGGTTTTAAYTAGTTAAATAATGCACACGAGCAACTACGGAAAGCCCTTTAGGACACTTTTTATTCAGAAAAATAAATAGCCTTTTAAGCTAGGTGGTTAATTTGGTTTTATTTAGCCCTTATTTGCTTTTTACATCTTATAATTACTTTTATTTATTGAAAGATTGCATCTAAATAAATTTAAATATTATTCTAATTTAAAGCTTTTTAAGAGAAGTCAGGTTGTGATGCATACATTAGGATTGTACTTAGTGTTTTGTGTGTCGTTTGATTCATTTTGACATGTTTTCGGGACAAAAAKCAACTGAAAGTTGGACGATTGTGTTTATTTGTGAACCGACAGTAACCAGTTCAAACAGGAGGATTTGTTAACAAGATGTTTGTTTTATAAAGCAAACATGAAGCTACGTTGTGTTATTTGTGCTGGGATTATATTTTAATGTGTGTTATGGTTGTAGCTTTTATTTACACTCTGAAAAAGAAATGTTAGATATCTGGTTCCACTAATCTGGACTGGATCTGGATGGATTGGGATTAGGGTCTGAGTCTGCTTTGGAAACTTTGTTCAGTTTGGGGTCCTCAAATGGTGGCTTGTGGTCCAGATCTGGACCTAAATGAAACCTTAACATATATATATATATATTACTTGAGCACATTTTCTCACATTTCTTCAGTTTTTAGGAGGCACAGCTTTTCTAGTCTTTATGGCTCCTGTTCCYATTTCTTTGTCAAATTTCAGTTTATTACCACTGATCTAGTTTGCTAGGTTGGGTCAAAGTATTTAGTTGGTTTAGTAGCTCACATTATTGTTTAAAAACCCATTTATTATGGCTGTTAAACATTAACTAGAAYCATAAATTGGATTTCTTTGAGTGCAGCTTGAACCTGCACGTTTCTGCTGCTTTARGACGTTCAGTGTTTTGTGTTTTTGTAGCCAAACATGAATGAAGGTTTGATGTTGGGCCTAATTGTCTTGAATCCAATTAACAGAACAACAGTCAAAATGAAATTAAACGCCGAACGAGAGAAGACATAATTTTGATTTCTTCTTTATTAGGAGCAAAGCGTGTTTCTAACAGGATGTGATGGATCATTGTTGATGTGAACCTGAATCCATCTTGAACTGATTAATGTGCCACTTTTAATCATCATAAAACCCGTTTGGGTCACGGCTGTGTGCGATACTTGTTAATAACAGAACCTTTTCAACAGATTTGTAACTAGTGATGCTGAGTCAGCGTTTTCCTGTTTTTATATTTTCTGTGTTTTTTGTGATATAAGTTCTCCTGCAAACTGTGCTGTATGTTAGCCGATCGTATCAAAACCTTCGGCTCGTTCAGGACATCGGTTCTTTGACTTTTGTTTTTTGTAACGTTTATAATTTTT